ATAACCGCTTCCAGTGACCCTGCTGGAAGTGGTTACAATTTGATATGTTTTCTATAAAATAGAGAATGTTTTTATGTAGATTTTACAATGTCCCATTTTTTTTGGGGGGGGGGGATGGGGTTGTAGCTTCTGAAGAATATAATTCTTGAAAAAAGAATGTAAGGACTTTAGGATACCCATGGAAGCTAGTGTGAATCTGCCCAGAGCTGTCATGAAGAGCTCCAATATGGGGGTAGCTGACTGGGAGCTGACTATTTGGGCAAAGATGGTTCTGGTCTGCTTTCCTTTTGCCCACAAGAAATGATTTTGAAAAAATAATTTTGTGCCTTTTTAGCAATCACTCCTTGTAAAACAGTATGGGAATTTAGCCACTGAGAGCGATGTTCCGGGGTGGGCTCCCTGACAATTTTCGCGTCAGCCTCTAATACAGCCCGATTGGCCTGTTCCATATCCTCTCCGGTGGCCCTTTTAATTAAACTAATTTCTTTAATTAGAAGACCTCGGGCACTATATGTTCCATTATGTTTTACTGTTGTATTTGGCAACCTAAGTTTAATTACAGAAAAATCATGCATTTCCTTAATATGATATATATATTGTAGATTTATATATAAGTTGACTGCAAATAAGAGGGTCAATCAAAAAGTAATGCCTTAATGTCCTTAATTTGAGATCTATTAGAGTGACTGTGAATGTTACCCCACTAATGTATGCTTTTCTTTTTCCAGATTGAGCGATTAGAACTAGGGATCTACGGCTAAAACAACGAGCTGTAATTGAATTTCTGGTGAAAGAGGGTTGCGCACCTAAGGAAATCCATTATCGGCTAAAGAATGTTTATTGGGACGCTGTAGTGGAATTTTAGTTTCTCCTTAAAATTTCTTCACCCACTGCCGCTAATGTCCACTACTGCGTCCCCATAAATATTCTTTGGTTGATTATGGATTTCCCTAGGTGCGCAACCCTCTTTTCACCAGAAATACAATCACAGCTCATTGTTTTAGCTGCAGATCCAAGGTTCTTTTTTGTTGTTGTTTTAGAAAAGTTTATTACGTTTTTGTAATATGTACAAAATATCATAACAAACCGATGTGTTGGTCAAAATTACATACATTGAAATGTAAAACAGTTGAACTTCCAACAATATCAAACAAAGTAGGAAGAAAAGGAAAGGCAAACAGATACAAGTATTGATATGGTAATCACAATATTATTGCATTGTCTGTCAATTCCCAATCGGGTTCCCGGGTATGAGGTCAATGACAAATGTGGCCGGTTTGCCGGAGAATACCACGATTTTCAACATAGAATAGAACTCATAATTCTCGTGGTAGTAGGTCTCAGTGTGTCGATAAATTCCTCAGCGGCTTGTGGTAGCAAGGAAGAGAGTCAGAAATAGGAATGAGAGAAGAGGGGGCATCGCCAGCATGATTGGGACACTGTCGGGTAGATGCTGAGGAGGAGTCTTGTACCAAAAAGTGAGAATTTTAAAATTAGTTTCTTGCATCTTGCTATTGACCGTACATTTGTGTGCTGTTGTACAGATATTGGTCCAGGAACGGTTGGTTAGAGTAGTATTGAGAGTTTATTCCCATTTGGTGGGAAGGTAGTGTAAATGTGAGGTGGTGCTGTCTCTGAGAAGGGAGTACAGCCATGAGATCAGGTGTCTGGTTGGGCAGTTTCTTGAGCAGAGCCCCTCAAAGGCCGTGAGGGTCCTGGAGAAGGTGGATCTATGTGCGGGGGACGTTAGGAAATGTTTTATTTGGAAGTAAATCCACCAAGGGACCGAACCTCGTTTCGTAATTCCTGAAAGTTAATTTTTGCTGACGAACTTGTGGGACTTAAAGAAAAGCTGTGCCCTCAATGGAGGGTCTTGGGACCAGTACGACATAGATCCGTGGTTCTAATCTCTCAATCTGAAAAAGAAAAGCATACATTAGTGGAGTGAGGACACCTCTATAACAACGTACATGAACATTCACAATCACTCTAATAGATCTCAAATTACAGAATGGAGGTAGTGTTAATTTCGTCAACTAATAATTTTTGTCATACTTTTCCAATGACTAAAACTAGACTAAAACTAAATAAAAACTGAGTTATGATGACTAAAACTATAACGAGAATATATTGACATCTTAGTCAACTCACTAAACCTAAACTAAAATGTCAGAGAACTAATCTCTTTGGAATTCCAGTTCTGGTTCCATCCTGAATGGACGGCTAATAGATAATATGTGCAATGGCATTACAGCCAATATACGATAGTTTTTCATTTTAATATTTTGAAAGAATGTCATATGCAAGTTGTTATAATCAATACATATCTAATTGCTGGTCCTTTGTTGACAATACTCAATATTATTGTTTTTTTATAAGACTTGGTTTAATCTAATTTTAAGATAAATAAAGACATGTTATATATCACAACAGTTACATCTGTGTCTGTATTGCATGTTCAAATCTTAATACCATAAGTAATAACCGGTTAGCAGATGTTTACTCCAGGAGTATATAATGAGATTGGAAATTCTGGAGAATTTTTTTAATGACTCTAACTAGACCCAATAGATTTTGGTAGTATTTTTAAAAACTAGACTAAAACAATTCAGATGACTAAAATATGACTAAAACTAAATTGAAATTTGCTGTCAAAATAAACACTGCATGGAGGCATTACTTTTTGATTGACCCTTGTATCTTTGTTAACCCTAAAATTGTCTGGTGCAAAGTCCTGTCTCATCATTCCAATTTGTGAACCTCTTATTAAGGACACAAGCAGGGGCGGATCCAGAGTCTATTCTCGGGAGGGGCACTGCCAGAAAATAAAGTTTTGCTTACAGAACGCTTAATATTTTATTTAACGTATAATACAGTCCTAACCTTGTTTAAAACAGTGACACATTTATCATTCCAGATTACAGATTTTTTACATGACAGAGAGACAGAATATGTTTAACCACAAATAACTTTATTATCACATAGATCACAAGCAGTTTGTATACTTATAACAGAAGTGCTATTAGCATAGCGAGGAAGCCGGCTGCGCATTTTGCATAGCTCCCGCAACGCTAAAAGCGTATCTTCTCAGAAGCTGCACACAACGCACGCTGGTTTAAGTAGTAACCAGCACGCTCTATATGCAGCTTCTGACAGCGTGGGAGACAGAAGACTGTGCATGTCAGTGGATCCAGGGATCAGGTGAGTATTTAAAAAAAATGTTTTATTTTATGTTCCCGGGGATATGTAAGGCCCATTCACACTGGAATCGGCCGGCACGTACAGCTCCCTGGTGCGTGCACAGCCGTATGGGGCAGTTCCCGGCAAGGACAGGTGCTGCGTGTAATTAGTACACAGCCCCTGTCCTTCTCTATGGGAGTACGCAGCCGTACGCCCCCCTACACTGACCCGCCCTGCACGTCCGTACGAGCATACAAATACGCTCACCCGCACCTATGTGCAGGACGGGTGAGCGTAGGGCGGCTTAAGGCCGTGTAGTCCTATAGAGAAGAACAGGGGCTGTGTACTAATCACACGCAGCACCTGTCCTTCCTGGGAGCTGCCTGATATGGCCGTGCAAGCAGCATGGAGCTGTATGTGCCGGACGATTCCAGTGTGAATGAGCCCTTAAAAAAACTGGTCACCTTACCCTGGTGGTCAGTGGGGGCTCCCTGGGCCCTGGTTGGTAGTGGAGGCTCTCCTGTGGACGCACCAGCCAGTTTGCCCGCAGCAGATGCCGGAGGGCCCGTCGCAAAACTCTCCCATTAAATGAAGCCCCTGGCCGTAGGTGCAGTGGCCCCCTCTTTCTGCCGTCTCTCTGCCACCTGCACCGCTACAGATGCGGCTCTCTAAATGCGCAGCATACCGAGGCGATCCGGGCTGGCGTCCCAACCTCACCTAACATATGCAGGCTGCAGCACCTCTTCATATGCATCCTTGGTGGCCAGTGGAGGGGAAGGGTCACAGGAGAGGGTCCTCACAATGACCCACATACCAGGATGTGGCTGCCTGGCGGTGCCTGCAGAGACGGGTATCGGCTTCGCCAGGCTAACAGTTATTGCCAATGACAGGCAGCTGCACAGCAGCCTGTTTCATTCGGATCCCCACACACGCACAGCCGCCGGTACATACAGCTGTCCCTCCCCTACATTTTTTTGGGAATTGCTAAAATATAAGACCTACCCCGAAAATAAGACCTAGTTGTGACCATTCTCAGGGCCGGTGGTGGCATAAGGGGGAACTTGAAGAGCCACGGGAAAGGCAGGAGAGAATCAGTAGTGCCAATGAAGCCAGTGCTAGAGGAAGCCAGGCGGCGAGCAGAGCCGCATAAGCCGATGCTTCCTCTAAAGTGCTTGCTCCTGTCAATGGCGGAGTGATATCAAATGCATTCAGCATGTGAAGAATCGATAGTGAAAGTACGTTTCACTGATTCTGGCCAGCAATTGGTTACCAAATTGCTCTTGGAAAGGTACGGCATCCCTGATTGCCCTGATCACTCTATTCTTAACTTTGCCATTTTGGATGATTTAAATTTGGATTTGCGTTAACTTTGGATTGTTATACATAAGACCTACCCCGAAAATAAGACCTAGTGCGTTTTTTTGAGCCAAAAAAAATATAAGACAGTGTCTTATTTTCGGGGAAACACGGTATCTAGTGTATGCAGAGGATTCAGGGGATCTAACAGAAAATTAGTTGAGGGTTAAAGGCGAATTCTACTGTTATCGCACTTGTGCTTCCTCGAGATCTACGAGTCTCTCCACCACAGTGGCATATGGGACTTTTTAGTCTTTTCAATCACAGATCTTGTGAACGGATCTGTGAATAAATTATGTAGCTGTTTGGGCGGAGCCTAAATATGGGTGTAACCTGAGACATGGTCCATAAGCCTTTAACAAACATATTTGTTAACAGGTTCACTTTTGTAATTTTCTTACTTTTCGACACTAGACTATATAACAAAACAAGCACTTTTTTTTCTTTCCCTTGTGTCTCCCAAGGACTAAGTCACTCCAACCTGCAGATGGCTCAGTTGAGTCCAGGAAATGCTGCATTAACTCCACCAGATGTAGGTGGCTTATCTCCCACTGCACTAGGTTATAGGAATGCCACCCATCGACGTCTCTCCATGCAGGTAAATATCCGGTGCTGTTCTAGCATCATTATCTACCCTGGGCTAGAAGTCTCTAATTTTGATGTTGTTTTAAAGTATTGTTTTTGCTTCAGAGATTATTACAAAGAAACTTTCAGATATTGCTGTTTGGAAGTTCATATACATAGTCTCTTTAAAAAGTCAAAGAAATGTTTCCTTTGCTGCCTCCATTCAATTGAATTTCCAAGATACAAGAAAAAAAATTGAACTGTGCAAAGGAAGATGCACAGTTAATAGTGTTACAGTTGCAAAGTGTTACAGGTTGCTGCAATGTGTAAATGTCAGATTTGTAAGTGAATATTGATTATATTTATCCAGAATGTTTTTAATATTTCAAAGCATTGTACTGAATATTTAAAAGCAGTTATGAAGTTCCTGGTTAATATTGATAAATAACACAGATTAAGGGTGATGTCAGATGGGCGATTCCCAGAACAATACAAAAATTCCCCAGTAAAGGCTCCAAAACCTGTAAGCCAAAAAATCTATTTAAACTGTTCCAAGATTTAGGTTAAAAATAGAGGGTTTTTTGCATTCATTTGCAACAATAGTATTTGTGAAGCAACATTGCCTCTTCAAGGCACATCTGCAAAAAAATTTTTCCAACTGTAAACCACCTGACATCGAAATCACAATAGCCAGGATTGGCATGTAAAATAGGAAACATTTAAAATGTATTGAGCTGTTTGCTGGTAAACCCTTTTCAAGCTATTAGATACCAAAAGATGACAGATGACGCATTTATGATCATTTCCTTTTATTGCCATCATTCCTCCTTTTTATCCAGAGAGGAAATTTCGGCTTCCAGGGCAGAACATATGGAAAAGGTCTCTACGCTGATAGGAATCACTGGATGCAAAGGGCATAAGCGTCCTCAGTTGGCATCCCCCACTGAGTTGTTTGTGAACTTGGCTGCTGCAGAGCCTTTGCTTCTGCACAATAAAGAGGAGGAGGTGGGGGAGAAGCAGTTGGGGTGGCCTCCTTAAAAAAGTAAGTGTTTTTCCCCATAGTGCTCTATAGGGTCACGGGAGGACATTTACTAGCGTCCTCCCGTGACCCAAAGCTTGGCTATTGCCCGCGATATACTGTGAGCCCCGCAGCCGGGACGGATCCCGACATTACTGTCGAGATCCACCCAGCTGTGTGAGTGACAGCTGGCTTGGCCTATCTACCTATCTCTGCCTATCCCCTCCCCCGTTCTTTCCTCCACTTAGCGCTGGAGGATTGGAGGGGGGCATCCCTGTGGGGAGCGGTGACTGACAGTCACCGCTCACTGCAGGGAGATGATCGGGAAGTGAGCAGATCGGTGCATGTTTCTCCTCACTTCCCGATCGATAGAGCCAACCTGTGACAGCTTCTTTGTCACAGGTCGGCTCTATCTATGAGGATGAGTGGAAATCACTCACCTCATAGATCTCCTTTTAAGGCCTCCTTTACTCTTGCAAATGCATGGCACGTAACCCTGGGTCAGTCCTAATGGATCCATCAGCCCTCCAAAAACTGGAGCTTCTACTGGTCGCCTTATGCTACTGCATAGACAGCTTAGTGAATTCTCTGTGCCAAAGTTCTTGTGTGACGCTTATGTCATTCCAGATGCACAGGATCTTGTGCCTATGATGCTGGTCTATAGAGACAGTTTGCAAGAAACGTATGGAAATAATTTCGTTTGATGGGGAAAGACACTTTGGTCAGTTTTTGGACGCCTTTATTAAGGAAGTCAAACCAAATGCTCAGTGCTAATAATTAGAGGTGCACCGAAATGGATATTTTAAAACTGAAACGAAACCGAAATAAAAAAAATTGTCAGGCCGAAACTGAAAATGTTTTTTATTTTAATATTTTTTCAAATATTTTTTTAGGGCTGGTAATGATTAAAATTTTCGTGTTCAATTAATCAAATTTTTTTTTGATCGATTAATTTCGATTAATTATAACACACATACAGATCTAACTACATTGGCCTATACACATACAGCACAGCAATGAAGTAATAAAATGAACTAGGATCACACTAATCCAGCACGTTATTAATCTTATGTGCCCCACTCAATATGGCCGCCGCTTGAGTGGGGCAACTCAGAATAATAACGTGCTGGATTACAAATGTATTTACATAGTATAGTAAAACAGCAAAGCCCGGTTTGCGGCAGGCGCTGACTCTAATGCTTTTCGGGTATGGGCAGCTAGGGGTATTGTGGTTCTGGCGGATGTCTTTGACCCCCAAGGACGTCTTAGGACTTTTCAAGCTCTGCAAACCCAATACCATCTCCTGGCCACCCATAGTTACCCATACATGCAATTAAGCCACTTTATCTCCAGTGACCTTACAATGCCTTGGCCTGAGATGGTCCACTCACCCCTCTCTCCACTGTTCTCCTCCCCCCAGACGAAGATGCCACTATCTCTTCTTGCCCGGAACGTAGTGACCTACATATAGGAATCTTCCACCACAGTACCGTCCCACATAGGTCGCTGGGCAGAATTTTTGGACATGTCCACTGAGGACACAATCGATATGGTAGAGCAGGGTTGGCAACAAATCAGGAAGGTTATTATCAATGAGTCCTGGCAGGAAATATACTTCAAAACAGTACATAGAGCATATCATGCCTTTAATATCCCCACTAGGGGGACGTCTTCCTTATGGTTAACTGCTTGTCCGAAATGCCTTCTTCCTCTACCTGACCTCCTGCACCTACTATGGTCCTGCCCCCGTATACAAAACTTTTGGTCCGCCATAGTGTCCTTCACGAATGTGCACTCACGTAAGAATAGGAAGTTATCCCCAAACTTTTGCCTACTGCATGCCCTTCCCCTACCCGCGAACGGGAACCCCTCCTGCCCTACCCGCTGGGAGCATCTCTGTCTGCTGACAGCCAAAAAGGCGATCCTGTGTAACTGGATTTTATCAGATCCCCCTTCCATGGACACGTTCTGCCCCCTGTTGAATCGCTTGTTGTTACTGGACAAGCTGGACACAAAATTTTATCAAGCACGCACTAAAACGTTCTTTGCTACTTGGACATCGTATGTTGCAGCAGAGTTTTCATTATAACAGCTGCAAGATCTGATGTCCATTTTTAAGCTGTCCAAATGGTACCTCGAGGCTAAACTGACGGGTTCCCTAGGGCCCCTGGATGTCTTTTGACCCTTGATCTACTGCGATCACTCGAGGTTCCCACCACCAAACTCCACCATGAGTAGTCCTCCTGTTGCACCCACGAATGCCCCTAATGGTTCGAATTGGTCTTCTACCCACAGTACCGACCCTCATGGCTATAGGGTCTGCTACTAGTTGTTAGTATTACACATATTTGATGCGCAACTTTCCAGCGGAGTGTATCCATATTGTATGACTCTAGTTATTCAGTATCAGTTTATGGATGTACTTTACACGTCTGGATTTCAGTCTGCGTACTGAGTTATTGTCTCTGCTGCATACCAATGCTTGCTCGTTGTGTAATGTTTTATTTTGATTATTTTCAATAAAAATTTGACATGCTAAAAAAACAAAAAAACAGCAAAGCCCTAAGGATGATTTAAACATAAGTATTAGCTTAATATTTGAAGTAGCAGCACCTGTCCATTCCATTTCATGTAAGGACCTGATTGCAACATAATATCAGTAAATTTCAATGGGCACATTTCTGGGAGCGAGATGGAGAGCCACATAGTGCTTAAATATAAGTTTAAGATAAGACAGAAGCTTAGTGCGTCTTGGGCAAACTCACCGGCCCAAGTGGCTCCGTCGGCTAACGAAGGGAAGGGGGGAGGAGTCAGGTGACGTCACGGACATCGACGTCACTGGACTCCTCCCCCTTCCTTTCGTTAGCTTTATTCATTTTTTATTAAATATTTTTATTTTTTACTTTACTTTTAGGGGCTTTGGGGAAATATTAGGAGTCTTAACAAACTCCTGATATTTCCCTTTTTAAAATAGAAAAAGAGATTGAGGACACAGAGTCCTCAATCTCTTTTTCTGTATCCCCATTATCAATGAACTTGAATCCTCTGAGTGTTCCTGTTCATTGATAACATGAGAAAATAGTATGTTTACTATAACTACAACTATGATTGAACAGGAGGTGATGCAGATCACTCGCATTCATTCATAATTGAGGATATAGTACACATACCATGTCCTCAATTATCTACAAACACTCAGTGATCACTGAGTGTTTGTACCTTGCTCCAATGTGCTATCACATTGGGGGCTCGCAAGTTCCCTATGTCAGTGCTCCCCAACCTTTTTATCGCCGCGGACCGGTCAACGTTTGATAATTTTACCGCGGCCCGCTGAGGGGGGGACATTGATTGTTTATATTTTTAGATTGTTTTGATTTAATAATTTTAATTTAATTGTATTTAAACATGCCTTCAAAATAAAATACAGTTACACCAAAAAATGAATATAAAGTGATTTAACATTTTAACTCACTGGTGTGTGGGAATCACCTGTCCCGATAAATCCATATGTCAAGTAGGACTCATGGTATTGTCTGTTAAAAGTTACATGTTTCTTTGATGTTGAAGGCCCTTCTTCTGTCTCTTCACTGGGCCTTTTCTTTTTCCCAAGGAAACTTTCTAACGACGTCTGTTTCGTACTCATTTTTGCTCATTTGTGGGTTAAATTTGAGCAAACACAATATACATGTACACCAAGCACTGTTAAACATGAGAAAGTACCGGTGAACAGAGAGAAGGGCGATACACACCTTCTCTTTACCAAAGCTACAACGCCACTGCCGCTTGCAGCCGCTCAGCTCCAGACGTCACCTAAAACCGCCCCGATATCACGATATTTTGCGCATGCGCGGTATTGGTGCGGCTTTAGGTGACGTCTCTCAGCTCCCGGTTAACCTCTCGTCCTGGAAAGTCGGACAAACCCGAGAGAAATACACCACAGTAAATAAAATGGAAATAATTTAATGTTCCTTGGGCGGCCCGGTACCATTTGATCCACGGACTGGTACTGGTCCACG